TATGAGAGTTCGGTGGTTGCGGGTGACGATGTCTATCATGTGTTGCACGAAGTGGTTGCAGAACTGGTGACTTGCGCAGGAATTAGCTTATGGTGAGACAGACTTGCACAGCGGCTACCGCACTCCCTCCTCACTCACTCACTCACTCACCAGGTTCTGATGTCAAAACTGTGCCAGATGATCTTCCGATCTGCAATTACCACATTTTGTATATAAGTAAACACTTGGATACAGAATTTAATAGGCCACATTTTTCCACCTGCATTCCATTTGTTGACGTGCGACAGCAACTTCTCCGAGTCGGCAACAGTCTCGACGTCAGTCCATCTATACTATATCATCGACGAACATGGCAACCTCTCAATCGGATCGGGAGGAGTAGTAGGCCTGAAACAAAACCGCAGATGACACCGCCTTAAACATTTCTTCAGTTCGATGTAAAATTATAGGCAAATGTGTCTGCTCTGAAGGATTGAAAACTCACGGTCCAAGAAAACAATTTTTCTAGATTTACAATTTCCGTTATCATTTGTGCCACGGCTCTGTGCACAGAATACCGTCAGTTGCATTGGTTAAGTCTTTTATATTTCCTCAGCTTAGTTGCCTTTATCTGCGGCCTTCAATGGCTTTGCATGATAGCAAACAATATTCAGATTCCATCCCATTTACAGCTGGATCACTTCATTAACGAACTAATGCAAATAAGATTTTGTCTCCTTGCATCCCTGACCTGTGGATGTTGACCCACCTTCTCATCCAGGCCTCAATAATTTACGTTTATTTTCATCTTCCAATGCAGCAGACACCTATGGAAGATCATCTTGAGTAGTGCACGGGTAGACTTTCGTCGTGGTACATACGGGTGTGCTGTACTGTGCTCATTCAACTTGGGCAAATTTTTTATACTATTCGAAATGTGACACACACTACCGTCAATCGGCGATCGGATGTTGTTTTTTCAACGTTTGCAAGTAATTCCAGGCAGTTCCAACCGCCCCTTGGGAGGACTGATTGCTGAGAGAACCTTATTTGCTGATAACATGAAACGCAGAAGTGCTTAAAAGCATGAAGTGGGCATCTGCCTTTGTGGTCAAATGCGCGAGGGGTATTTGCTTGCCTGGCATGCTTACAAAAACTCACTGCGAACTCTCCACATTCGCTTAAAGTTTAGGTCAAACGTGATCGTATGCAGTGTCCTAGCAATGAGCAGTCAGCCAGTTATAGTGTAGTCCTGAAGAACTTCCGTTCAGTTATGCGGATATAGAAACGGAGACTTGGATCTGTACATCAAGTTACGAACTCTGACACTATTTTCATAGATGCACTGGTTCTTACCTCATTTACTTTAACTTAGACCACGATCCGACAGTCACCGTATGCGTTGGAGACTGCAACGCAATTCTCTAGCGATGTGTACGCCAAACTCTTATCGAGCACATGTTTTTCAGCAGACTCTATGTGGCGTAGAGTAGTGAAATGTCCTCCACTCAAACCCCCACCTAAATCGTCTACTGTTACATCGAGCTTAGGCTTAATACACAGTTTCATACACCTGTATTCTCTCCTCCAAGGCCGTTTTGAGTTGAAGATCGAGCTGATGGGTGCGTCATCCCCCTGGCACTGGATCGGTGCTCTCTTTACTTACACTACGCGAGCGTGTATTCAGTGTACACGTAGTAACCCCCCTCCAACCACCCCACTTCCTACCAGATCAGCTGTCATTATTGTTAAGCGGAGCCCCTCTGCTGACATGACTCTGCTCGGCCTATGACAATAGGGCTTGTGTTAATTTTGTATCAACTACGGGCGATTAATTACCGTAG